GCAGAATTTGTTTCACGTCATTTCTTGCTTCTTCTGGCGAGTCACAATAGTTTAGTTCTAACTTTATAAATCGTTCACACAGAAAACGATTTTCTTTCATTTTTAAATAGGCAAATTTTTTTTAAAGGAATTAATTTTCTTTTCGCTCCCCTTACATGTTAATGTTAATGTTTATTGGTCTATTTTTTGTTGCTGTAAGTACAGTATGCCGAGGAGAAAACAATCACTGTTTCAAAAGTCAGATTCGATCGAAAGAGTTGAAAACCATTTCATAGCAGATATCAACAACACGTATGAGATTAATTATCACTATCTTTATATAAAAATAGCATTATTAGATTAACTTAGTAAGGTGCACTTAAAAGATTTTCTCATAAAGAGAAAGTATAGATTTTGATATCAAACCTTTCAGGAAATCGTAATCAATTTTTATATATTTTATGGTAACCTAGATACTATAAGAGTATTTTTTTTATATATCTTATCCGCAACTCCTTTACCACTGAATGAAATTTGGAAATCACAGAATCTTTATTCATACTTTTTGCACCTCCTATTTTACTTTTTGATCCGACACATATTTTGGTTTTCCGGCCACAGCAAAACATGGACTTTGCCATTACAACTATATGGAGGCGGGGGTATCATTTAGTCAGCCCATCGCTCACAGTACCTCTAGTTTTATATAGCACTTTGTTCTGGATTTTCCTTTTTTTTTCTTAAATGCATGAATCTCTTGCCCCCAGCACGGTTAATTCGATAATTACTTTCACATTTTGCTTGAGATCATTGGAAGTCTTATTATTAAGAAGATCCTGATTAGAATCTACATCAGGAGAGTTAGAAGGGTTTGAAGATCCTGCGGATATATCTCTCTTACATTACCGACATCATGGTTTGTGACATTTAGCATTTGAGTGTCAATAACATTAATATAGCAACAACTGATGTTGTATGAATTTATGGAAGCTTCAGTCTTATGAACTATATTTCCTGCACTTTCCATTGCTATAACAGAATAAATTCCCAGTTCTGTTACATACTACCAGGAAACTGAAGTGACAAATTTGAAAGGAATAAGCAAAACAATTGTGACAAATAGAATTTAATGTGAAATGATTATAGAAATTTTTATGACATATTGAATTTGCCTTGCCATCCCGCATTATAGACTTATAATATGTATTCTGTATTTCGATAGCAATGTTATAAATTACATTATTTATCTCGTGGACACTTTCTTGATTCGTCTGAGATTAGTATACATTCATCTAGGCTAAAATGTTAATGGAACTTTTTTTTAAAAAGAATCCTAAAAGAAATTATACTTTTCAAATATTCGAAAATGGAGAAAACTGGCATATTATAGGGGAAAACAGATATGGAATACATTCGAAAATATTTAAGCAATGCCAATTGAGCAAAACTAGAATTGAAAGTGAATAAAGCCAAATCGATGAGACTTTGACTTCTTTTCTAATTTAATCGGAAGTACAAAATGGTAATAAATTGTATTAGAAAGTTTCTTATTACCCAGTGAATATACAAAAGAGCAAAAATAACATGAATAAATAAATTTAAAGAAAATGAAAGGCCAACAAGAATGTTGTCCTTGAAATGATATTATTAAGTAATTTCAAAACCATGTATTTTTTAAAGAAAAACAAGTGCTTAAAAATTGGTTTGCTACATCTCTCAAAGTGATTAACAGGGATAGCAATAAAGTATATGATAGGTACATAGAAAAAAATAATTAAAAAGAAAGCAAAGGCAATTTTATTCTCTGTTGAATAATTTAAAAAGCATGCTCTTCTGTATCGGAGCTTTATTGCAACGCAGTTTAAACAACTACCGCACTTTGAAATTGTTTTCAGAGTTTATTATCAATGAGACAAAATCCACGCACTTTGAATCGATTCTTAAAGTTGAAACGGTTTTAAATTGTTTTCAGAGTTTATTATCAATGAGACAAAATCCACGCACTTTGAATCGATTCTTAAAGTTGAAACGGTTTTCAAAGTGCGTAACAGAGATTGTACGGATTATTTGGGGGGGGGGGTGACATTGAAGAATTATAAAATTGATAACACTATGCAGCTACATTTTACATTAAAGGGGCCAGGACACAGTTTCAGCCAAAAATTTTCATTTCATTTTTTATGTTTAAAAATACTTTACTAGGGTATTTATTAAGATCATCAAAATTTTGAATTTCAGTTGTCGAGATACAAGACAGATTTAGAGCTCCCAACGTTTGTTATGTAAACAATTTTTTAAGGCCCGTGTCATGTTTAGTTTACATAGGTTAAACATACTGATATGTATTCGTTCAAAGCAAATTTTTCAATAAAGAAGTTAATTCTAAATACAATTAAGCATTTTCTAATGATTTGCTGAATCTCGTTTTGTTATAATCATGGTATTTCACCACCATTATGAAGAATTCTAAGTCCTGTATCTCCTTTGTAAATCAACAAATGATGTTCAAATTTTTTGTGATCATTAGAATTGCCTTAGCTAGGAAATGTAAACATTAAAATTCATTAAAAAAAATTCAGTTGAAACTGTGTCCATGCCCCTTTAAAAACTGAAAGAAAAATTCATTCATGACTCATTTTATCACTAGTGACACAGCTTTTTTAATTTAAATCATTTTACAATGACTACCGCTGCATGCCTGACTTGAACCAATGCAAGGGACGCGTGGCATTTGATCGATTTTGGGTGTTATAAAAAAATTTAACATGTGTCAATATATATTTTCAAAAAGTACAATACTATTTAAATTTACATTCAATTTTCACGTCATGAGATCGGTCACATGACCAAATCAAATTATATAACTCTCTCAGGCGTTATAGGATTTTATCACGTGACCATCTACGAGTTGCAACCCCAATAAATGAAATCTCGGATTAATTTCAAATTGACGGATCGCAAATAAAATATGACGCGAATAATAGTTGGTTTACAGTATAGCTTAAGGTATTTCAATCGTCTTTCCGATATTCAGCAGCATAAAAAATTAATCAACAAGAAACAATATATGTCCTTCTATATCGCGTGATAATATCCATTCCTGCTGAATAAACCACCGATGCGTTTAATAATTCCTAGAATAAATACTTTGTAATCCTTTGTCTTCATATTGTTTAGATACCTTATCTTTATTGCATGAATATAGTATGAGATATATAAATGTGATGAAGATATTTACAACAAACATTAAGATAGCTTGGCATCTTTTCCAGATTGTAATCTGTCTACTTACTTTTGATTGCTAAATGAGACATATGGATTGAAACATACCGGTATGGAGATAATGAACAGTATTCAATCTCAAAAATCCATAAAACAATACCAAATAGGAGCAGAGCAAACACAGACCTCCAAAACATCAGAGGTGGGATCAGGTGCCATGAAGGAGTAGGCAGACCGGTCACACCCGCCATGTGCTCCTTATTATGATAGGAAAATCTGTCATCAATTCCGTGTGTAAACAATGGACTAACAGTTCGTATGAAAAACGTCAGTCAGCAATAATTTATATTTGCTGACAAGGTCATTGTATCGACCATAGAACTTATGAAATAATGATTTTAAACGAGACTGCTGATATTCTTGTTTCATCAACTTGTTTGTCAATAATTTACCTCGTTTTAAAGATTGTACATCCGTAGAGCATGCTCTTGCGTATCGAATCAACTGAGAGATATCATCTCCGTATGCAGGTGATAAAGGTACATTGCTGCATAAGTAAGAGAAGTTGACGATGGAAAAGTTAAAGTCATCACGTTTATCAAACAGCTTGGTTATTAGATTACCATTAACGCCTTTTTCAAGAAAAATATCCAAATATGAAACAGATGTGTCAGACTCGTGGTATCTTTTATCTCAAGCTCACCGGGATATATCGTTTCTACATAAGAATGGAAATAACCATGATTGTTAATTGACAATACGACGTCGGTATATATGAGTGTCGAGTTGAAGGCCACAGCAAGTGTTTTTTTCTTTACACGAATAAGATTTTGGACAAAATCCGCTTCATATGAATACAAAATTGATCTGCTAATAACGGGGCGCAGTTGGTACCCATGGGAATTCCAATAGATTGTTCGGAGACCTGGTCACCAAAAACCACATGTACATAGACATTTTCAATCAGAAACCCGCGCAAGTGTTTGTTGAGGAAATTATGAATCAATCCAAGCGAAATTTCATTTAAATTTTGAGAGACGTTTATGTTATAAATCACTATCGATTGTTCTAAACGCATTTAACTATAAGTTCCGCTAAGAACATGATAATACATAAAGGGCTTCTTGAAACAAAAAGCCTTAAGCTCTTCATAAAAAAAGAAATAAATGACGGAATGATCCTGGGTACTGTAAACGTACTTTTTCCACTAAGTCATAATTCCGCGGAATCGCAATTTCTGTTTAATCTGCATGTAGAAAATTGCAGACTGTCTCATATGCCTTGTACATTTATATCAAGTACGCTTGGACATATTTCCGCGGAAAATTTGTGACCGCGTACATAACGTAAATTAATACCATGCGGAAAATTAAGTACTTCTAGTATCCAAAGTTTTCTTTTAATTTTCTCCACATCTTCATACTGTCACAACATATATTTCTAAATGATAAAGTAAGTTAAAAACTACATTTGAAAATTTTCTCGAATTTATATCTAGTAATTAAATAACGAATTGCCTTTAACTGAAACTTAAGTATTCCAGAATATTCTCTTCAATATGTTATATACATTTTGTATATAAATCTTTATTTTGAACATTATTATTTTTTTTTTAAACATTTAGTCCCTAAATCTACACAAAGTTAAATTACCTATAAACAGCGACAACATTTACCAGGAGTAGACGGATGCTTCCTAATACAGCTACATTCATGAATTTCTTTTACATTCGATTTTGACTAAATAACAACTTTGAAAAAATATTTAAATTTATTAAAAATATAGAAAAAATCACAAACCTTTGTGAATTCTACATGTATCTTAATAAGCCAAGAAATAATTCTTCTCTTTTGCATTCCAAAATCCTACAATCACACATATTCTACACTAATACTGTAGTTAAGCGAAAAAAGCTCATAAAATCAGTAATGATACAATTAGGCGGTATGAGATACTGTTTTAAGGGGTTGGTGTAATTGATTTCGGTTGAATCTGTAAAAATCGATGTGTCATGATAGAAATAGTTTTCATCTGGTAAAACAGAAGCAGGACAATGCACTGGACTGGTTTGCTGCTTTAGCATCGTTCATTTGATTTTCTTTTGCAAAGGAGAACAAATTGCAGAATAATTCTCATTTGTAATCTCCAATTTTACCTATAAATAAGTAATATATGAATAATCACTTTGTCATTTTGCAAAACGCTTCCTCTATTAGAATGTAATTTATTCGTGAAAACTTATTATTAACGGTAGGGCTGGGCAATAATATCGATATTTCAATATATTGCAATATAATGACAAAAAATATCGTAAAGCAATACGATTTTGTAATATCTATATATTGGCAATATGCTTAGATTAAGGAATTTTGTCATTAAATATTAAAATGGACTAATGAAAGTTTGTTATTATAACCGAACAGTACAACAGAAATTGTTTTGTGGGAATATTTCAGAGCATAACTTTAATGAAATCAACAATTTTTTTTGTCAGTGTTGGTTACTTATCATAGATATGTACATTTTGTATGTAAATTAAAGCAAATATAGTAAGAAAATGCCATTTAAATTGCATTGGAAAAATTGCAATACATATCGCAATACAGTTACAAATATCGCAATATATCGCAATACGAAATCTCGGGCCAATACCCAGCCCTAATTAACGGATAATGTTTTATTTTTAATTGAATTTAAAAAAAAATCATTTAATCTGAAAAAATTGTCGATATCTGTTTCATACTTGACTATTTTAGAAAAAAGACCTAAATGGTTACCTGAAGTTATATAACAAAATTTATGCGTTCAATTTCAACTTCAATCGTTAAATTCCTTTACTTATGTAACAATATACACTTATCATCTCCATGTGGGTAAATCTCTCAGTTGCTTCGATGCGAATTATGTTATTACCAAAGAAGTTGATGAAACAAGAATATCAAACGTGTCATTTAAATTTACCATATTGCAAGTTTTATGTCGATATTTGTCTCTGATAAATTTTGAAAACTGAAATAAAAAGTAGATTGAAAGCTTGAAACAAATATAAGTTTTTCTCACGTTCATGAGGTTACCTTAAAACTTATTGCAATCGTTTTGCAAGAATGTTTTAGTGAATATCTTCTGCGGATGTAGTTGACAATATAAGTTCCGAGTGTACTTTGTTTCTTTCACACGAAATGTTTTGTCTAGCTTTTAGAAGATGAAGGATTTGCCGTTTTGAAACTTGACTTTGAATATAATAATGTAACTACAGCATCGTAATAGACATATGGAAGAAGTACTTTTTTAAATAAAACATATATTACTCTCTTCTCTATGGCACCTGATCCCACCCTCTGATGTTTGCAGGTCCGTGTTTGCTCCGCTGCTATTTTTCAGTGCTTAGTGGACTTTTCAGCCCTAATACTGTTCGTCATCTCCACAAAATCATAATAAAATATCATTGAAAATCACTGGAATTCCTACAGTAATTTGAAGAAAATGAGCAGTGCTTCCAAAATATAGTTAATCAATTACCTGGTAGCCAGTGTGTGCAAGATAAATAAATAAAAATTAACAAGGGTCGAAGTCCCTGTTGAACGATCACCTAAGTACATTATTATGTATTAATTATCACCTAGCAAATTGATATAGAAGAAAGTTCTGGAGGACCTGATGTATTTTCAATATATAGTCAATTTTGCCCCGCCTTATGGACTGAATAACTTTCGAGATGTTGATAAGTAAAAGGTAAGATTTTATAAGATATAAGAATTTTAAATACAATCTGAGCCTACACGTATCTTGAACTCTGAACCCTGATTCCAAGGGATGTGAATAAAATAAAAAGAAATTGGAAATGACTTATTTGTCTGTCGTGAAAATAATGCAATTTACATGCTGGATGTCCATGAGAAGATTTTGATTTTTTTAAAATAGCTTTGATAACTCGATGACCCTACCCGTCAGTTTTTAGGCAGGCAGTGACCAAAAAACTAACAAATTTGTTTTCCTTTAACCACGAATGTCATATACCAGAAGCTAAAGTGACAGAAATTGGACCAGCTGCTCAAAAGAGGTAGCTGGAAATGGTCAGATGTTAACAGCTGACAAACGACGAACAATGATTGACGAAAACAGATAACAATAGGTCACTTACCTAAGACGTGCAAGCAAAAAAAGGAAAGGATCCCGGGTATTCGATGTGTGTACCAGTTATGATAATACCTAAAGATAGCCGACATCTGAAAATGGTACGATACTTGATCAGTTTACTTAAAAAATAATTGAAGATGCCTGTGATTTGTTTATAATGACGACGCCTTTTTCATCAGTTGGATCAGAAAATTACAAATAATTTCATCCCTTTGAGTATCCGTATTGACAATCTGTCGGCTTGATATGGACTTGTTATTAATCATTTGGTTGTATTTTTATAAGGCCTCTTCGAGTGTCTGACAGTAATTGCTTGCACTCCATATATTCAAGGCCAGTTTTCATCAGAATAAAGCTAATTTTTATAAATCACTATCGGGGTTTTTTTTGACATTGTATCTGGTCTTCTTGTCTTTGGCTGTCCTTGAATAATGTTCTTTTTTAAAAAGTTTACGGACAAACAGACAAACAGCTAGACTTTCAGACGGCATGAGAGTAAAATACAATATACCTCCGAATCTTCGATTACAGGGACATGATGAAATGAATTAATGAAAGTGCATTCTTAGTCATTTTTTACGTTAGCAAAAGATATATGGACCTTTGCATATAAGTGTCGTGATTGGCTTCATATGTTTCTTTTCTAGAAAAGAAAATAGTTTGCTTTTTTGTTAAATTCAATTACAGTGATGAATTATAATAAGACAATCTAAAGCTACTTTCGCAAAGACGAAAAAAGGTTGCTTCGAAGAGTAAATCAATTCAAAAGCAAGAATTGCCGACATAAAGAATTCTTTATGACAAGCACAACATCGATGCTTCTATCGCATAGTAATTCCTAATTGCATAGGAAAAGCTTCATTCTATATCTGTTTGATTCGATTGTTGTTAAATTCTTCACATATCACTACGAGAACAGAGAAACACAAACAGGATTTTTTGGACAATGTCTAATACATATAAACAGTCTGTATATATTAGTGTGTCAAGAACATTTTAATGAAAATAACATAATTTATCCTTTTTTTTTCCTTCCAGAAAAACGGGAAAATTGTAGGGGAAAAAACCTAAATGCAAAAACAAGGAAAAATAATTTTGAACAGCATAATAACCAAATCGATTGCCCACAAGAAGAATTCTGGAATCCTTTGTGTTGCAAATGTGACTTGAACAAGGCCATGATGAGAATTAATTACAGTATTTAAAGTCTTCTGACGGAAGTGTTAAAATTGCAGTGTGAAATTCATTTTCTATAGTGTCGAATTCGAGTTTTATTAATTAAATATAGCCCTTTTTTCTTCTTCCAATGAAATAAACATTGATTCATAGAGACAATTTCACTGAGTGATAGTTTCATTTAGATAAAAATTAATGTAAAGTTACCATCTTTCCCATTGACTTAAACATATAATCATATCACTGAAGCCAATCAGTTATGCAAAGATATCAAATGTATGTAAGTACTTCAAGATGATGCTACTACGAATTGAGATAAATCTTTTGTCTGTTTAATAAAAGGAAAAAAAAAATTTTTTTCGGTTTTGTGCCTAAACCAAAGCACTAAAAGTCTAACAAGATAATTGTTCGTTTGAAAAATTATATACATTTCACACATTTAAAATGTAACCTATAATTTTATAAATTAAATTTACCTCAGCATATTACTTTTCACCTTTAATTGCATGTTGTTCATTATTTTCTGACAATTTTGATATGCAAAAAGGAATTATGTTTCTACGCTGCAATTCTCCCAAAATATACTTGTAGTCCCTGTTTTATTTCTCTCCTTGTAACCCTTCTTTTAAAAAGAGCACCGGTAACATAATTTAATCATTGAGCAGCCCTAGCAAATGTTAATTTAAGGAATCGCTGTTTAGTTTGATGGGTATGCCGGAGACATCAGCGATAGTTGGAAATGTGGGGTACTTTATACATAACAGGATTTTCACCACCTTTCCAACTATCGTTAGTTACCAAGCAACCCCCAAAAAACTTGACAGTTATTCCTCAAATAAATCCTGTTCAGCTTAAGACCTATGACTTTGTGTGCTAAAAACAAAATTCACTTGAAGACAGCTCCCTTAGAAAAATACACATGTACATGTAAATGTAAGAATCAGAATGAATTCAGAAGCTTTCTTCTTCAAGAAAATATTGAGTCACAGTTTTTGAGTTATCTCTCCTTTCATATCAGCTCTATGTTTGTTTTTTTCAATACGATATGTGGAGATAACAAACAGAATGCACGCTCCAAAGTCCAATAATTCAATACAAATCAGGGAAAATATAGCTGTATGCATTCCATTGGCGATAATGTCTTAAAATCTAAGTTGTTTGACAAGTACATATTCAAATTTGCATACCTTCATCGTAGAAAAGTTAGGTGTTTCAATATGAGTGAGAGTACAATAAAATATATGGAGATAACTAGCAATATCCAAGCCCAAAAGTTCATTCAAACAATACAAATCAAGAGCAGTGCAAATTTGGACCTCTAAAGTCTTAAAATCTGATCAGGGGGTGGACGCAGGTGCCATGGAGGATTGCCATGCAAGTTCAGTCATCACAGGGCTCATAGTTACTTGGAAATGAGACCTGTACGGTACCAAAACATTAACCTGTTCACTCATCCGAAAAATGTAGGTCCGAGTTAGCATCCGACGCAAGCCTGGTTGTATGCATCCTTAGATGTATGTACGGTCAACATAGGGCT